CCAGCCATTTTTTGTTGCCGAATAGGTCATTCCCCTGTATTCGTCTTCCGTTTTGGCAAGCCATGAATCCCACACGTTTTTTCGCTTGAAAACAATATGAGGAGGCAGCTTTTCCATCTAACAGGACCGTGGTATTCTCTCTACCGGAACCGCTCATCGCTGTATGAGCAGCCTTTCCCTTTTGGCAAACAACTTTATTCCTGCTGGGATCAAGGCAAAAGCTCGTTTCGTCTATATTGTAGATTCTTGATGGAGGAATATCTTTTATGACTTCTTTTAACATGGTAAAATACTCATCAATGATGAACGGATCAACACTTCTTTTTCTCGCTACTTCCACCATTTGTGTTTTTTTCTGGCTGAGGTTAAACATTTTCTTAAATCTTATGAAATAATCGTTTCCCGGAATACCGTCTTTGAATGGAGTCTTTATGCTGTTTTCATGCACATAACGGGCTATTAGTTTCAAGACTTCTTTTTTGGAAAGACCAAAGCCTCATTTTTCCATAACCTTGATGTAAGTAGTAAAATTGTGAAAGTTCGCATGAATCATATGTTTCTAAAAACAGATTTACGTTTTAGGTTTCCACAATCTGAGTAATCTGATTAAGGTACTATTTTGCTATTTTGACGGCTGAGAAATCATAAAATTATATTTCCAGAATGTATTATAATTATATTTTAAAACAATGCCCATACTACACACTTACCCCTAATAATGGGGCAAGTTTGTACGTATACAGTTGTGTGCAGCCATATAGATACTGGATATATCTTTATCGATTTCTTCAACATATTTTGCAAGTGACCCTTTTTCTCTAAACTCTTCTTCTATATCATCATCGCTCTCATTGTAAAATATTTCTTTGTCCGATGAGCTTTCCGATTCTATGAAAGTTCTACTCTTTTTTGATTGAACTTTTGGTTTATTGCTGTTTTCGTTCAAGCGTTTCATAGCTTCTGAAGATGTAATAATTTCTGCTCCACTAGCTACTTTTCTTCGGCGTTTCACACCTGTATTAACGTGCTGTTTTACAGTATAAAGTAACAGCTCTTCAAAAGATAATGCCCACATGGGAAGAGTGACTATCGTAAATAAGAATGACTGGTCTATTTTGTGGTATGTTTTTTAGAAAATCGTTTTTAAAGTATTTTTCAAAAGTTTCAGCTGCCATCCAGCCATTTTTTGTTGCCGAATAGGTCATTCCCCTGTATTCGTCTTCCGTTTTGGCAAGCCATGAATCCCACACGTTTTTTTCCCTTGAAAACAATATGGGGAGGCAGCTTTTCCACCTAACAGGACCGTGGTATTCTCTCCTCCGGAACCGCTCGTCGCTCTATGAGCAGCAGCAGTTCCCTTTTGGCCAACAACTTTAATCCTGCTGGGATCAAGGCAAAAGCTCGTTTCGTCTATATTGTAGATTCTTGATGGAGGAATATCTTTTATGTCTTCTTTTAACATGGTAAAATACTCATCAATGATGAACGGATCAACACTTCTTTTTCTCGATACTTCCACCATTTGTGTTTTTTCTGGCTAAGGTTAAACATTTTCTTAAATTTTACGAAATAATCGTTACCCGAAATACCGTCTTTGAATGGAGTCTTTATGTTGTTTTCATTCACATAACGGGCTATTAGTGTCAAGACTTCTCTTTTGGAAAGACCAAAGCCTCATTTTTCCACAACATTGATGTATTCGGAAATTTCCTTCCTCATAAGGAATACAAGTGTACCGAAGGATGAGCTTTTCACACCCCTCAGGCCCTTTACGTGTTTAAAAAGTGCGGCTTTCGGAATATTGTAGACTAATGATACAACGTCAATTCTTGATTTTTCACTGCGTTGGTGGTAACCTGCAGGATCTCATTAGAGTATTTTGGTGGCGGTTTTTTCTTAATGTAATTACACACCATTTCTGAAACAAAATTTCAAATAGAACAAATTGAAATTCATATAATGGGGTAAGTGGAACCTACCGTGCAACATGACTAGGTTCCAATTTCCCAACTAGCTATTTTACTGGGGCAAGTGTAACCCCTGGCCTTTCACTAATTATATTTAACGCAAGTCTAAAACTAAGATATTTTTCTACTAGATGGAACGTTGCACATATACTTCCGATATTAAAAAATGGAGATAAACAACTGGTAACTAATTATAGACCTATCAGTGGTCTGTGGACTTTTGCAAAGTGGCTCGAAAAAGTTGTTTACAACCTAATAATTCCATCAGTAAAAACATAATAATCGACGAACAGCACGGATTTTTTCCAAACCGTTCCCTAGAATCTAATCTTTTGTGTTACACTGATTATATTTGTGAAGCCCTAGATAGCAAGACTCAAGTCGATTACATATACACCGACTTCAGCAAGGCTTTTGATAAAATAAATCATGAATTGCTGCTTAAGAGGCTTGCTGAGACTGGTGTCGACGATGCACTATGTCATTGAATATGGTCTTACACTACCAATCGTAAGCAAATTGTAGCTATCAACTGTTTCAAGTCGCTGCCAGTTACGGTTACGTCTGGCGTCCCACAAGGAAGTCATCTAGGTCCTTTATTATTTATAATTTTTATCAACAACTTAAAGAAATCCTTTAAATATGCAAATTGTCTATTATATGCCGATGACTTGAAAATATTCCATACATTAATGACTGTAAAGAAATCCAAAGTGATATAGATACTTTTGTCAATTTTTGTGACAATAATGATTTGTTTCTAAATGCTGATAAATGTACTTTTATTAGACTCCCGGAACAAATCTCTCATAGAATACCGGTACCAAATCAAAAATACACCTTTGAAGGAAACGGATATAGTGAAGGACCTAGGAGTCCTCCTAGATGCAAAAATGACTTTCCAACCACACATAGAAAACTTGATTTGCGAATCAAACAAAATGTTAGGATTTATCTGTAGAATCTGCAGGGATTTCAAGAGTGCAAGAGCCATGACATCCCTATATTATGCATATATTTATAACAAGTTGAACTTTGCTTCCGTTATATGGAACCCTCAGTATATTACATACATAAATCGAATTGAAAGTGTACAACATAGACTCCTGAAGAGATTAAGTTTTAAAATCGACAATTCGGTACGTGACAGAAACTATGATCATATTAGACAACATTTCAATATCATGACCTTAAAAAGTAGGAGATTGATGTCTGACGTGTGTCTTATATACAGAATATTCAACAATTTTGACTGTCCCTATTTGCTTTCAGAAATAAATATTAATGTGCCAGATAGAAACTACCGCCATTCCAAGTTTTTCAAGATTTCCTTCTGTAGATCGAATTTAGGAGTCAACTCACCTGTAATTAGGGCTCAGAGGGTGTTTAACGATACCTCTATCAATTTGGACATTTTTGTGGTTAATTTTAACAAGTTTAAAGCAACTGTAAGGAGGCAGCTTACATAGGATAGTATCATACTATCTAATTGTTTGTTTGCTGTGATACTGTTGTCAACCATTAATACTTTTATATACTTTTATACAGTATTTGTACGTCTAGTAACGTGCTCTGTGTTTGTATTTTTTGGTGACTAGTGCGATTCATGGAATAGTGTAACTGATACATGCTGATTTTTAAAAAAATTAAATTTTAAATTTATATCGTTTTATAGTAGTTGCTATATCATAGTATTGTTTATTCTCATATAGTAGGCTTGTGTTACAGATTTTCATATATTCTGGATTTTGAAATCTATGTATCTTTTTATTTGATCACTATAGTAAGCAGCGGGTACTGTCTTTGGAATTCACATTCTGTTGCACCCCAAACATGAGTAAATAAATAAATAAATAATATAAATAAAATATACATATTCCAGGTATCCAAGTACAAAGAACTATTTTTTCTTAGCTACTTACCGCAAAATGTTTCAAAACTTTGACAAATTTTCTGCTTCAAAAATCAATTAATATTGAACACGTGCTAGCTCGACATGCGACGGAAATCGATAACGTACTGCCTATACCAAGGTCAAACCATAACGGAGGCGCGTTCGGCTTGCCGTTTGACGGAGCATGTAGGGGACGCTATTACGCTTCTTTTTAACAGATGGATGCACTTTACTGATCGCGCTTTTTTATGGGTTCCACTTGCCCCGAATGTCCACTTACCCCGGTGTACCTTATTACAATTTACAGTTTTTTTAGAACCAGTGCAATTTCAATGACTAAGGACTAGGTTTAAAAATGTTCCAGATTTTAATCAACTTTTCATCACCTTAGGCCCGGATCGTCAGTCGTCCCTACCATTGTAGGGCGCGTTTGTGGCCTCATTGATTGTCATAACTCCTTTATCTCCTTCAAAGATTTCTAGATTACACTTGTCCCGTGTCAGCGTCAGCGCTCTCCTATTGTAAAGATATGTTTTCCTTTTAAATCGTAGGAAATTTCAGGCTGATAAAACATGATATAACTCAAAAGCAATCACAATTTGATGCAAATAGATGTTTGTGACATAACCTCAAAATAGAGCACTGACATGGAAAAATAGAAAACTATGACAATCAAGGAGGCCATAAAGGCGCCCTACAATTGTAGGAACGACTGACGATACGGGCCTTAGTAAGATTTTGACTAAACTGGAACTATAACTTTTCTTCTGATTTTGCTGCGTGATATTTATAAAAGCAATAACCTGTTATGACCTATCCTGAAATATGAGCTACCGTCACAGTAAACTCTATAAGACATGTTATTAGATACAAATTACTATTATGATTAATTTCTATCGTTTATTTCCATCTTGAAAAACCGAATATCCATACCGATGAATCATATTCACAGATAGTGTGTCAATAAAGATCTTGCTGGGTTTGAAATTAATTACTTGCTATACATATTCCGGCATGTCTATATTTATGTATTGTAAAAGATGGTGAATGGGCAGCATTACATGAATAAAGCGAACATCTGAGCATTGAAGCATGAGTAATTTCGAAACAGACCGGATAATGAGGATTGAAACTTCAAAGTTGTTAACTGACAAAATGACAAAATATCGTCGGCTTAATCGGCAAAATGCGTATCTCCGTTTCTATAAATTTTACAGGAGACACAAAAAACGTCATCAGATTGAACTGTAGTATTTTTCACAAGAATGACTGTGTTAAACGATCAGAAAGTGTCTTGTAGCAGCTAAAAACTATATGCTTGGACAATATTTTAGCATAGATCATTTACTATGATAAAAAAAAGGAGATAGGCAGTTTTCTTTTTTATATTCAGCCAAAAACCTGGAGATAGGGGTTCCTCATATGGGATATTTGAACAGTAACAAATGAAGCTACTCAGGAAAAATACAATTTTTATTCATAAAAATATAAACATAATTCAGATTGTGCTTAATAGAGCGGCTTAAGGAAGAAAACACATGTATTCATAAAAGTAAAACAAAATCGGATTGTGCTTATCTACGATTTATTCAATCATGGGGTAAATTATCATAGAAGGCATGATAATCGACTTCCATGGTTGCCTTTAGACTTTGAAGGTGTTTATACTTTTCTGCCTTAATTTTTATCCTATTTCTATAGAGTTTGGGTAAGTCGTTTGCATCATTGGTGGCGTTGTTAGTCTTTGTGTTTAGCCTGACTGGAAGAATTTGCCATTTTTGATCAGAGTGATTGAGTTTGAAAAACACTCCCTCATGAGAGTATCTCAATGCTCTAATATCGTTTACCAATGGTGCACCAGCAGATCTTCCGGGTCTGATAGAATTAAAACATTTCAGCTCATCGTATTTTTTGAAGAAATCGTGCATTAGGTACTCAACTCTATAAGGAGCCTTTTGACATGCCGTTTTGCAGATGTAGACGTAGTCTGCTGGAATATTGATTTTCTTATTTCGGGTTTTCCTTTCAATTACAGAATGGACACTGTCCACTTCCATTTGGGTATGTCCTTTCTGCAAATACTTTTGCACAATAGTAACTCCCCTCTCCAATGTGAGATTGTATAGGCCATTTGCCAATGTGGCGTTCCTATTTTGATAACCACAACCATCGCTCCATAATATAATTTGAATATCACTACGATTTTGTAATCCAAACTGATCGATATGTCTTTCTAAAAAATGTATTATTATGCTTGTGAACTCATTACTAGTTAGTCCTCCTTCCGCTTCATTCCATAAATAACAGTGGCCCTGATTGCGCTTGATGTCATAGAGGGTGAAGTTGTGGACAATCAGCTTAGTTTTATAATACAGTGCACACGTGTTTGATTTTGGGGATAGCAAAACGGATTGAAGGTCCATTGTAAAAACTTCGTTTGGAGACTCTTTATCTACGGTCTTTGCAGTTCTTGCTGCATTTTTGAATGCAATGTGTTCATTGTACTTATCTTCTGTTAAATTGCCCGTCTCAAAAGCAACACAAGTGTCACATAGATCTTTTTTTGGTTTATAGAGTGATAGTCGTTTTTTATCGAATTCTTTATGGAATGTTGCAATCGATACAGGTTCAACGTTATGTGTAGTACAGTAGTCGCTTTTGTAAATTTTATATAAGTGAGCCTTAGAATTCCAAGTTGGCTCTAAATAGAGCTTGGATGTGGAAGCCCTGCAATAGTGCGATTCCAGCTTCGGTAGACAGTCGAAAAAGTCATGCAGCGAACGAGTAGGTGCAGTAGTACTGTCACGTATTTTATTCGGCTGTACATTATCTTCATCCTTTCTATAACCATTTTCCAAGTTACTTTTGGCCCATTTTTTTATAACCCACTCTTTTACTCCTAACGTATTAAGAAACATCGTTCTACAAACCCTTAGTCTGTCCTTGCCCAAAAAGAATCTGTTTGAATAAGATCTTCTTGAAACGTCCCTAATTCCCCGTTTTCTTATAGTATAATTTATGGAAACGTGATTTTTTACGAAAACCCTCTTTTCTGCCCAAGTGTATTGCCAAAATTCCTTAAAAATGTTTTTTCTCTCATTTTCAGTCAATTCTCTACATTTTAAAACAGATTTTTGATTGTTACTTAGTTTACAACGACATACATCCTTTAGTGATCTCGGTTCCTTTAAAATGTCATATTTCCACATCCCATTTTCCTTTTTTTTCCCTACGTATGATTCTCCCTTTTCTCTTTTAATTCGATTCTTGTTTTCATGCCATTTATTTTTGTTTACTTCATACTTTGTTGAACGCTTCCGACGGGGTCCTTCGTCTTCTAATATCTTATCCGATAGTTTAGTACAAGGCGTATGATCAGACTCATCTAAGTCGGAGCTCTCACAATCTTCTACAGTTAGATTTTCAATAATAGTGGATTGTACTCCTGAACAGGAAGGTATTTCATCGAAAATGGAATCACGTTGGCCAATTTCAACAATACTCAACTGAATTGGAGCCACAGCTTCATCTTAAAAAAGTTAGATGGTCAGAAATAAATATAAAGAATCTCATTTAAGGCTCTTACCACTTGCGTCTTCCATCATCATTCTGACTTCTCCATCAACTACAAAATCGCTAATTTGTGCGTCTACAAATTCACTATTGCACTCGCTAGCACTTTGCGCTTCTACTGAATCCACATTTCCAACAGCACTGTAGTCTTCGCCTGAAAAAAGACCGAACGTAAGACTAAAAAGTGGTCAGATTATCTGTTAATCAATCAATTAACAATCTTCAAAGATTTCGCAGGTTATTTGGAATTAATACAATGGACACGTTCCATTTATAATAAAGCACGAACTGCAAAGACTGTAGATAAAAAGTCACCAAACGCCGCATAAAACGCAACACTGTTTACTGTTATATTTGGAATGAATCACCTGGTACTCAATTCTTACATTATTAGCTATGAATTTACTATTGTGCAAAAGTACTTACGAAAAGGTCATACAATATTGGGAAGGTCTTATTAGTGCTTACCAGCAGCGTCTGAAAATATTATTTCAGCATCCTGAATAGCCTTCGATAGGTCGTAGTTATTATTTTTTTCATTTACTGGTTCATAGCTGGTAGTAGACTTCAACGCATCGAAGATTCTGTCAATTCGTCTCGCCATAATCTAGAAAAAAAAATGTCCCTTCTTAATGATTGAAAATAAAAATACGTATCTCCTATACAACCAAATATCTACTTTAAAAATATATTATGGGAAATATGCGTAACTCCCTGAAATACAAAGTTTAACTCATATCACCTTGTATAATTATAATTATCATTAAAAAATACTGATTCTAATAATCTGGAAGTTGTACTTACCTTTCAAAAGCCCTTTATGGAAATATAGATTCAACTATCACTTGCACCAAGCTGTAAATTCGCAGATGCACGTGTTCACCGTAAGCGTTATTACACGTTCTGGGATTTACGCATTTTGCCGACTGAAATTGGCGGGAACGGATATAGGCCGTTTTCTACTTTGCGTATTACAAAGAAACGAATAAAGCTTTGGATATAGGCTGTTTTCCTAAAGATGGGTTGTACTATTTACTACTAGATGGCACCAAAATGTCATTTTCTCAAAAATGTGGAGTTACGCATTTTGCCGATTAAGTCGACGATATACATTTCGAATCTCAAACTTCTATCCCTATACTTCTATGCTTCCTCAAAGTTGGGACTTTTCTGTACACTGCGTGTATGAGGGCCACGCTACACAGGGTGTAAACGTGATGGTAGTCATTATTGAAATGGGTAATAGGGGAGGTCAAAACAAGTCAAAAAGTTCATATGACCCATGGTCCAAAGGTCAATAGATTTTTGTCTAAATGACTTTATAGTTTACAACTTTAAGTGCTTTATGTCGACCACAATCACCACAATCTTACTAATTTTTATAATCTAATCTAAAACGTTTTTAAATTGGGTAATTAACAAATAAATGGCCTTAAGTTTCTCTAGGTTAAGCCAAAATTTGTAGTCAGTAAGTAAGTAAGTTTCATTAAATTGAATATTTAAAACACACATGACAACAACGCGTCGGTCATCGTCACCCGTATCGAACCAACAATCGATCGCAAACGGTAACAGTGGTTAGTATGTTGTTTTGTTTCTGTTCGCGTACGTCGTCGTATTGATTTACAATGTTCTCGAATCAAGAGTTCGACGACATGTTTACGGTGAAGCTCGTCAGAGTTCAAATCTTGCAGCTCAAATGTATCGCGATAGATTTCACCAACGGGTACACCCACACAGAAGGACATTTGTGCAAGTGTACCAGAGATTTCGAGATACAGGAAGTGTTCAGCCCACTAATATTCGCTCTCGTGAAAGACAGGTTACTGTAGAGCAGGAGGAACAAATTTTAAATATCGTGGTAATCAATGCAGATATCAACACTTGGGAATTAGGCCGCCTCGTAGGACTATCGCATACCATAGTCCATAGAATCTTACAGGAAAAACTTGTTACCAGAAGACTATCCTCGCAGACTAACATTCTGTCAGTGGTTTTTGCACAAAAACATTCAAAATCCGATTTTTTTTAAAAACATTCTAGTGACGAAGGAATGTACTTTTACGCGAAACAGAATATTAAATTTCCATAATACTCACACGTGGGCCCAAGAAAATCCTCATACCGTTCGTGAAGGTCGTAATGAAGCTTGTGTGGAACGACATTCTTAACACCTTCTTTATATACAAAAAAGTGCAGTGTGGGTTTTGAAAAGAAAAACAATGTATGTATCAAAATTGTGTTCCCTATTTATAAGTGGATTTTTTAATACGTTCAATAAACTTTCACACACCAGGTGAAGTGCTGAGACAGTTACAGGAACTGGTCCAAATATGGAACATGCACAGAATATGGGCCCCCATTTGTTTGCCGAAACAAGTGGCTCCATCTGTTAACTAGATCTCTGACTACCTTCTATTTTCCTTATAAAGCATTCTAGAACACACTATCAGTTAACCGGTGTTTGCCGCGCAGAAATTTAGAATAGGTTAGGTTTATATCTGTCCGAAAATTTCAATCGTAAGTATAATGTTGATTGTTTTGTTAGGTGTTATACATATTTTCTGATGAGTGCTTATTGTGTAATGTTACTTAAAGCTTGAGTATATCATTCCTGAAGAACTCCATTGATATTGTAAGGCTTGATAATGATTTTGACCAAGTAAACATTCCACATGTGATTCGTGAAATATGGGCCACTATGATCCTTGAAATATGGTCAGAGGACCGTATTGGGACCACAGTTCAGTAATGCATTTTTGTTTGCAGAATCATGGGGAATGAAAGGAAATATCTTAAGAAGAATCAGAGAAAGCTGTGGAAAAAGGAAGATATGATATCAGCATTAGAAGCTGTTTTAGATAAAACAAAGGGACTGAAAAAGGCGGATAAACAGTTCAATGTTCCTAGAACCACCCTCCAAAGACTATTGCACCAATGCAAAGATGGTATCGAACCTGTTGAAGCTGTAAATAGAAAATTAGGAAGAAAACCAGTGTTAGGAGGTAGTATAGAGACTGAATTAGTAAAATATATTTTGGAAATGGAGAGGTTGTATTATGGACTGACCAAGAAGGATATTTGTAGTATGGCATACACTCTAGCTGACAGAAATGGTATTGGGCATCCTTTTAAAAATTACACCGCAGGGCGGAGCTGAATTGATTCATTTTTGAAGCGACACGGGGCAGTTTTGTCAGTTCGCAGACCAACTGGAACTTCGTTTGCTAGAGCACTTGGGTTTAATAAAGAAAACGTGCAAGATTTTTTCAGGAAACTGGAAATAGAATATTCAAATCATAACTTTGGACCGCGTCAAATATTCAACGTAGATGAGACTGGTCTTACCGTGGTTCAAAGCAAGATTCCAAAGATTGTGGGACGGAAGGGCAAGAGGCAAATAGCTGCATTAACGTCTGCAGAGCGCGGCTCTCTCGTCACAGTAATTAGCGCTATGTCTGCTGGAGGTCAGTTTGTTCCTCCCATGTTAATCTTTCCTAGGAAAAACAGGAATGAACAACTTATGCGTGGGGCTCCAGCTGGATCTATCTATGCAGTACATCCTAGCGGGTTCAGCTAAATCTTTTTACTGAATGGTTCCAGCATTTTCTGGCATTTGTTAAGCCCAGTAAGAATTCCCCAGTTCTCCTTATACTCAATGGACACTATACCCACACTCGCAAGATAGACGTTATAAACTTGGCGAGGGAAAATCATGCTGTTATCATTTCTGTGTCGCCCCACTCTACCCACAAACTCCAACCTCTTGATAAAACTTTTATGGGGGTTTTATAAACGTATTATAGTGAAGAAGTTCGTCTTTGGTTAAGAGCTAATCAACGACCATTAACGCAGTTTGATTTGGCAGAGCTACTTGGCAAAGATATGTTAAAAGCCAAACAGCTGAAATAGCAATTAATGGTTATAGAGTCACTGGTATCTGGCCTTTTAAGAAGGATATATTTAATGATGCTGATTTTATTGAAGAAAAGGAAAACGCAGCAAAGAATTGCAGCTTAAGTTTTTGTGAAGCAGACGTTCAGGACAGTAACGTTGACTTATCAGCTGTACATTCCGACGAAGAACTTTCAACTAGAAGTTTGAATGTTTCTGACTGCCAACCAGGATGCTAAAGAGATACAGAATCAAAACCCGGATATTTGAACACATTGAATCTCCCCATTAGATGTTCAAATGAAACTGCAACAAACAGAGACAGCTTTATTTCTGCATTTGATATAGCTCTACTACCAGTCATTAAGAAACAAACAACCACACGAGGCAGAAAGTCTGGAAAATCTCAAATCATAACTTCATCGCCATATAAACAAGAACTGGAGAAATCATGTGAAAAACAGAAAAAGGCTGTAGAAAAAGGAAAAGGACGTCCACGACCACTTCCTATCGGTGATGTTTGTAGTTGAAAAGCATACACTTCACTTCGTACTTCTACAGCTTCCATATATTACTTTAGTACCTATTAATTTTATGGAAGTGCAATTCCAAGTTATGAATAGGCTAGGTGGCATAGTGGAAGAAACTATCCATGATAACATAAAACTATCGTAGTAATTATTCACTATGTTCCAAATCAAACAACACAGTTGAGAAGTATTTTAGAAACGACGATAGCTATTTCTATATCAATGATTTCTGTTTATTTTAGATTTCAGATCATCTTAATCACCCTTGAAATTAGATTCAAATTATATAAACCACCTGAAACTGTGGTTTCTCGAACAAAATTAAAATCAGTGTTGTCATTCTTCTGGTAATTGAATGTTGAAATACTTTAAAATGGCGATACCTTAGAAACAAACCAGAAAATGATTGTGTAGTCTACTACAATAAGTGAATAAATAGTAAAACGATACGAGACAATATAATCACAGATTTATTATACATTAATATAATGTAGCGGCAATATTTTTGTTGCATTATTTGGTTATAACTATGGCAATTCCATCCTAACCATCATGGAAATATTTATGGTTTGGCTATATATCTCGGCTATATCAGCTATATCTCGGCTATACCACGGCTATGTCTTGACACGCTTGTCTGCATTTTGTAGATATATACACATAGTGTCATAAAAAAACTACATAATTAAAAAAAACCGACAAAAAGGATCTCCCAGACCCGCGCGATTAATCTGCTGCGATATTCGTGGCGATATATTCTCGCGAAATTCGCTGCGAATATTTGAGGGACTTTTCATATTAAAGCGAGAACAGTAGACGGTGTGAGTGTCGTTTGTAAGCCAAATTGAAATATGTAATCTTCAGATAAAGAAGCAATTCTATTACTTGCTTTGGAGGATGAAGAACGGAGTAGGTATGTATTTCTTGCAATATATATGACTTAATTGAAAAACTGAGTACAGGAAACGAAGAAAATGGTGTGATAAAATTAACTTGGCAAGGTAGGAATGAGGGGAATTCCAAGCATTATTGTCTGAATTACGCCAAGTCGAAACAGACATATATACAGGGTGTAAAGTTAATAGTGGATCAACGGAAGTCAGGTCATAGAGGGCCTCAAAACTTTCAATCGCAATTACAACTAAACCATTAAGTTTAGGGCTGTGTTATTTTTTTGAGATCAGCTAAATGGTTAGTTTTAACGATGGTTATGTCACTTTTTAACAGAGCTAATTAGAATTCAACGCAAAAAATCTTAAATTCATTTGTTTGTGGAAAATCTCTTCCATCCCTCATAACTTCTATTTTTGGGGTCATTAAAAGACCTAGTTTACTCAAGAAGATTCACTTCAAAGAATCCATCATGCTGCAAATGAAATAAGAAGAAAAAGGTTTTCCACTTTTCGGGCTACGCAATCATTAGTTCGTCGAGCGAGACTCTGTATCCAACAAATTCGAAGTACATTTCCTATCATGTGACATTTTTTTTAGTTTGATTTTATTCAAAAATGGCACAATTTATCGATATTCAACAAGAGTACCTTTTTATGTATAAAACCGTAAGTTTTAAAATTCTAAAATTGAAT